ATGTCAGGAAATACTGTCACACAGAGGACAACTGACAAGTGGAACGAGTTAGCAGGAGGACAGGACACTGAGATTCGTTTTAAAAGGAAACTGCTTGATGCTGTAGTGACAGTTTTATAAAGTTATTCAGGATAAATACCTGATACAAAATGACACAAAGGCTAAGAGGAGAGGGATTAGAGTAGAGAGCTCCAGTGGAGGAGCACTCACTAGCACACACAAGACCTTCTTTTGTGCTGGAAATGATTTTTGGATGCTAAGCAGTCGAACCTGAACTATGTGTTCACTTTCATATGAATTTAAGGCCGCAAACCCTTGCTGAAGACCTATTGGCAATATCAAAGAGATTACTGGAATCGGCCATATCACCAGGCTTTTCATCTGAAAAACTTCAGGCAGATCAGAGGTAATCTCCTTTTTTGCAGTGCAAGCGCTGAGTTTGTCCTGTAGCTCAGTGGTTAGAGCACTTGCCTCGCAAATGAGAGGACCTGGGTTAGATTCCCCGGCAGGGCGAAACTTTGGGCAAATTTCCTGACTCCACACGCCTCTGTTTACCAGCAGTAAGTAGGAACCTGGTTGTTAGTCGATTGGCGGATTGCTTTTCCAGGTATAATAATCTCTTCAAAACAAAAAAGCTAATAATAATTTGGTCACTCAATCCACGACTGTATGTGGGACACTTCTGTGTGCATTTGGCTGCTGCGTTTGCCCACCAAATTCACTTTACAGTACAGCTGTGAAGCGCTTTGTGACATAAATCTACTCACCCACTGCAGCTGCTTCTGCAACAGTAATAATCCTTGCAATTTATACAGCGCCTTATCACGTCGTCGAGTTATCTTGCTTCACAAGATATACTTATGTAGGTGAACATGGCAGCCAATTTGTGCATTGCAAATAGTCACAAAGTGAATGATGAATTTCATCTGGGGATTGTTGGCCAGAAGGAACTCCTTTCTCTTTTCAAATACAGGAGTACCATGAGATCTTTAACACCCACCTGGACAGGCACAGACAGAACCTCATTTTAATATCTTGTCCTGAAAGATGGCACCTCCGACATCGCAACACAGGGCATAGGAATGTCAGCTTAGATTATATCGGTTCCAAGGGAGAGGGGGGGAAGGAGGAGGGAGAGAAAGGAGGGGGGGAGAGAGAGAGGATGGGGGAGAGCGAGGGGAGAGTACGGGGATACAGGGTGGGAGAGAGGTGGTGAGTGAGAGGGGGTAGAGAGAGAGATATAGGGGGAGAGAGAGGAGGGACAGAGGGGAGATGAGTAGGGGAGAAAGAGGAGGGGGAAGAGAGGCCTTCAGCCTCTCTGCCCCCACACTTTGGAACTCCATCCCACAGTCCCTTCACCTTGCTCCCCCCCTTGCCTTCTTCAAGGCACATCTCAAGACCCTCCTCTTCGAACGAGCCTTGGTCACCCTCCTATCCCCACCCTCCCTGCCCTCCACCCCTCCTGATCCCAACCCCCAGCTCGGGTCCAAATTCTTGACTGTCCAGGGACATCCTCCTGATGTGAAATGTACATTATCATTTGTTGTTGTTCTAAAACCAGCTTTCCAATTAACCCTAAATTTGAGAATTTGAGAATTTTTTTATACTTCCGCACCACCATTAAGCACTTTGAGATGTCTAGAAGACGTGAAAAGCGCTATATCAAATGCAAGGATTATTATTATTATTATTATTATTATTATCTTAAACATTAAAACATGGCCTTATGGACAAGTTCAGGAGGATTTTCAGATCAGCCTTAAATTTGTTCTTAATATACAAGCCAGCTTTACTGAGTTCTGAAAAAGAAACCAGCTTCAAGTAAGACTTTCCCACAGTTCTGCAATTCTAAGTTATAATTAATAATCGTAATAATAGCATTTGATACAGCGCCTCCTCACATCGCTGAAACGGCTCAAAGCGCTTCACAGGATATACTGGAAAGTAGACTGTATATTTTGTGGGGGAAACACGGCAGCCAGTCGCACACAGCAGTGTCCCACAAGTGGTCATGGAGTGAATAAGACTGAGTGCAATTTTGGGCCTTAGATTCTGCAGTGCTAACTTATTCTTGATCCCACAAGCTCAGTTCTTAACCACACTCAACCCATCTCAGAGTACAAGACTTCCAAATGTTGACTAATCATCATTCATTTTGCGGAACCTTTAAATTTGATTTGGCCAATTTCCACACATGTCCACTCTTGTGCCAGCAAATACTGAAGAGGTAATATGCAAACATGAGCTGATAAAAGAAATGAATTGGTGAAACAATTAGCATTAGGTAAATTGGCTGTCACTGAGCCGCGTGAGCCAATATATAATCTGACATGGCGACACGTCTGCTTGATGGGCAGATATTCTACTCTCAGTCTGGCATCATTCCAGTTATAATCTTTGCATTTGATATAGCGCTTTTCACGTCTTCTAGACGTCCCAAAGCGCTTCACAGAACACACTGTAAAGTGAATTGACTGTATATTTGTGGGCGAACGCGGCAGCCAATTGCGCACAGCAATGTCCCACAAACAGTCGTAGATTGAAAATGAACAATTTATTATTGTTTTTAGTTTTGGAGGGATTATTATTAGGCTCTGTGTGGAGTAAGGAAACTTGCCCAAGGTTTCGCCCTCTGCCTGGAATTGAACTCAGGTCTCTCACTCGCAAAGAGAGTGCTCTAACCACTGAGCTACAGGACTCCACAACAGTTCTGTTTTATGTTCCAATATACCGCAGGGATTCAGCAAAAGAGATGATGAGAAACTTGGGAAATTTCCACCCTCTCTCTGATCCCAATCCACAGCTCAGCTGCAAACCTCTCATTGTCCGGTGTCCTCCTGAGGTGAAACACACTGTATAAAAGTAATTTGTTGTTGGTAATCTTAAGAGACAGAGGGGCCATGGCAACAGAAGGAGGCCATTCAGCCCATCAAGCCTACTCTGACAGTTTATTATGTCATCGTAGATCTTTTAAGCAAAAGGAAAAATACTGGTGGGAATTAGGTCAGGCAGCATCTATGGAGAGAGGAAAGTGAGTTAACATTTCAGGTCGATGAGCTTTAGCACCTTTCCTTTCTCCATATTTGCTGCCTGACCGGCTGAGTGTTCCAAGCCACATCTGTTTTATTTCCCTTTTAAATGCTCCATTTGATTCTACCTTTAAGGTCCAGTGGACAGTGTACCCCAAAACTGAGTATATCGAGAATACGGTCAGAAGTGGTGTAAATGGGGATCAGGCGGAGGGGGCTGGCGGGTAAGCAGTGCAGAATGTGGGGGAGCGGGCTCATTGGGTCAAATGGTCTTCTTGTGAAACCATAGAAATTTACGGAACAAAAGGCAACCATTCGTTCCATCAAGTCTGTGCCGCTCCCTTTCAAGCAGTGCATTCCAAATCTTTTGGGCCCATTTACCCGCACCCCTGTAGCTGACTCTTTTTATCGTATTTGTCTAGTTCCCTCTTGAAGGTCAATATGGATTCTGCCTCAATTACTGCTCCTGACCTATAGAGTCATAGAATAATTGAATCATAGAATATTACAGCACAGAAGGAGGTTCATCGTGCCTGTGCCGGCTCTTTGAAAGAGCCACCAACTAGTCCCACTCCCCCACTCTTACCCCATCACACTGCAAATTTTTCCTTTCCTTTCCTTTACCTATCTAATTCCCTTTTGAAAGTTATTATCGAATCTGCTTCCACTGCCCTTTCAAGCAGTACATTCCAAACCGTAACAACTCTCTGGTTCATATGCTCCAAATTCCTTAATATTTTTATTCCCTGAATATCTATTTGCTTCTCTCCTAAATGCTTCAACTCATTTCTGGCTTTCTATACTTTAGCCACAACAACAACAACAAAATTACATTTAAGAACATAAGAACATAAGAATTAGGAGCAGGAGTAGGCCCTTCGGCCCCTCGAACCTGCCCCGCCATTCGATAAGATCATGGCGATCATTTCTATCACGTTGCCCGCTTGCTTCTGGGTCAAATTGGTAGTGTGTTGAAACCCCAGTCTGGGCTAACACGCCAGCACAGGATTGGCAGGAGCACTCCATTAATAATAATAATCCTTGCATTTGATATAGCGCCCTATCCCACAAACAGTTGTGGATCGAGTGACCAAGTTATTATTAGAAAAAAAATTTGATGAGATTATTACTCCCGGAGAAGCATTTCACCAATCAACTAACAACCGGGTGCCTAATTATTGCCGGGTGAACAGAGGCGTGTGGAGTAAGGAAACTTACCCTACGTTTCACCCTGCCCGAGAATCGAACCCGGGACCTCTTACTTACAAGGTAAGTGCCATAACCACTGAGCTACAGGACTCCATTTATTGTGTGAGGTGCCAGCCTTTAGAATGAGCGGTTAAACCAAGGTCTCACTGCCTACTTAGCTGGCATTAAAGATCCCTGGGTACGATTGAAATATTGGAGTTTCCCAATGCTCTGGCCAGAAATTATCCCAATGATTAATTGATCCTTCAGATTATGGCTGTTTGTGTGTTGAATCCTCAGGGCAGGCCTAACACTCCCTCCTTGCTGTGTGCAAAATGATTTCTGTACTTGCTGACAATACAGTCACTGTGTGTAACAGTAATTACCTGCGATAAAAACACAAGCCCTTTCTCTTTCTTCTGTAACTAAATGTAGATTCTTGGAAAACAAGCCATTAATCCTCGGGTTTAAGTCAAAACAAAGCCATTCATGTGATTAAATGATTCATGTGTTCCCCGAAACTCTGAAACTCTCTCCCTCAATCCCTCCCTCTCTCCCTCCCTCTCTCCCTCCCTCTCTCCCTCCCTTCCTCCCTCCGCAACTTCAAATCCTGCCTATACACCTTCCTTTTTTGATCGGTCACCTCCCTCCTCCCTCTCCCTATGGCTTGTAATCAGACTCTGCCACTGTCAAGTGCTCTGTTACCCGCCCCGCACAAGGGCGCTGCGTGAATGCAAATTGTTGTTAGATGATTGAACGGAGCTGGTTTAGGGGTTGACATACCTGCTGCCTCTCCTGGCTCCCTGTGTGACCTGGGGGTAATGGTGTCCCTGGGCTTCGCTGTACTGATAGACCCTGGCTGCAGTCCCATTAACCTGGTGGTCCGGGGGGCTCCTGTTGTGGTTTGCATAGCGGTGGCCGTGGCTCGTGTGGTGGTGGTTGATCGGGGGGCTGTCCTGGTCGAGGTGAGCAGAGCCACGGTGGTGGTGGAGGGCCGGGGGCTGTGCTCCCCAGGGAGGATACTGGACTCGCTGGAGTAATCCGGGCGGGTTGGACCCCAGTCGATGGCGCAGGACATCACGGTGACCCGTCCCTCGCCGTCGTTCACAGTGCAGGTGGGCGTCTGCGTCACTGTGTTACCCACCCTCGGCCCCTCGCTCCGCCTCCTCACCCTCCTCAGCAAGCCCAGCCTCGGGGGCCGCACACTCTGGCCGGGGGCCGGGGGGCCGGAGGGAGGAGAAGCTGAATGTTCGGACCGACAGCGTGGGCACCCGATGACTGCACGCTTGCTCCTCGCTCCCACCCAGTCGCTCGGTTTGGCTCGGGGGGGATTGGCTCAGAGTGCAAGGCGCGGAGCCACCACCATTTTGTAAATCTCCCGAGATCGGCACGTTTATACTCCCAGGGGGGCCGGGCGCTGGGGGTTCTGTGACGGGCCACGGGACGTGGAGACCCCACACCCTGACCCAGTCTCTGACCCTGAACTGTCGTCTCACAAGAAGAAAAATCCATGGCGAGGTGGAACATGGCAACCAATATCCAAGCACGACACCCAACAGGCTTCCCAGGTCTACTGACAGGCATCAGGCTGGGGGGAGAAGGAAGAAAGAGCAATTCATCAGAGTCAGAGCAAGTCTACATTCCCGCTCCCCCTTTGCCCGAAACTGTACAATGAAATGTGTGATACTCCTGTAGCTCATCCAGAGACATGGGTTCGATTCCCCACTACGTCAACCACTCCATTCTGTCGTTTAACAGCAACAACTTGCATTTATGCAGCACCTTTCACTCAGGGTAGCGTCCCAGAGCGCTTGACAGTGGCGGGTCTGACCCCCGAACCAGGAGGAGAGAGAGGCGACCATAAGCACAATCAAAAGGGAAGGTCTTCAGGCGGGATTTGAAGGTGGGGCGGGAAGGGTCAAGGCGGAGGGATTGAGGGCGAAACGTTGGGCAAGTTTCCTTACTCCACATGCCTCTGTCTACCAAGCAGCAAGTAGGAACCCAATTGTTAGTTGATTGATGAATCGCTTTACAGGAGTTTAACTGCTGTGCTTAATTGCCTGCCGCATTTCACCCACAAAATATACAGGCAATTTGCTTTACAGTATATTCTGTGAAGCGCTTTGAGTCACCTCGAAAACGTGATAAGGCGCTGTACCGAAGGCAAGGATTATTATTAATGGAGGTACTTGTCAGAATGGAATACAAAGAATGTTATAGTGTGAAAGGAAGCCATTCAACCCATTGTGTCGAGATCTCTCTGACAGAGCTGTGCTGCTATTCCCTCTCACCTGCCCACACACTCCCCCGCACCATTTTATATTTCCAAATATTGGTCCAATTTCCCTTTAAAAACTTTTGTAAATTCTCCTTCAACAGTGTTTTTGCTCAGGCAGTCTGTGTCCTGTATAACCCTCTGCATCGATTCGGAATTTTTTTTATCTCAATCTTGTTTTTTTATTCCTGGTAATGGTTGGAGATGGATGCCCTCGAGGTACAGACTCACCAACCAACCGACCAATGCAATAAATAATAATAATTTGGTCATTCAATTCACGACTGTTTGTGGGGGACACTGCTGTGCGCAATTAGTTTCCCTTGTGAAGCCCTTTGAGACGGCTCAAAGACATGATAAATGCAAGGATTATTATTGTTATAACAGAATGGATAATGGCTACAATGCCCCCCACAACCCCCCACTGATCAAATGGGTCATTTTTGTGGGATGTTGCTGTGTCTAAATTAGCAACCATGTTTGCCCACAAAAAACAGTCACCGCATTTATATCCTGTGAAGCGCTTTGGGACATTATTCTGAAGTGAAAGGCGCTGTACTGAGTGTAAGGATTATTATAATTATCGAAAGTTGTATCAAATTGGTTACAAAATGCAGCATTTTTTAAACGGTGCGACACCAGATAATAACTATAATCCTTGAACTTGATATAACGTCAACGAGCCGTCTCAAAGCGCTTCACAGAATACAGTGGAGTGAAAGAACATGACTTGAGGCTGAGTTATTAAGCGACTATCTGACAGGAAATTTTTTCATGAACCTTTCCCACTGCGACCAGAAACAACATGGCAACTGCCAATGGCCAAACTATTGTGTTTGTTCCATGGGGATGGGTGTGTGGGTGTATATTTGTGTGTGAGGTGTTTGTGTGCGTGTGTCTGTGACTATGTGTGTGTGTGTCTGGGTGTGTGTGCAAATATGTGTGAGGTTTGATTGTGTGTTCGTGTGTGTGCATCTAACACTTGTATAAGGTTGTTGCAGAGGTGCTGGGGTGGGGGGTGAACGGGAGCAGAAAGGTTGGCATCATTTAAAAGAAATAATGGAGTAAATTCTGAATAATCTGTGAGACCTCTTAAAAATATCGCTTAATATTTCAGTCAGATTCTTTCTTGCTCGAGGCGTCTGATTCCTTCCTGGAGGGTCGTTATCCTGCAAATCCTCCTTCCCGACCTCTCTCTTTTTAAAAAGAGACGTGAGGAGGTTTTATTGGACTATGTGAGCTGACAGATTGTCGGTTATGATCCAGCGTTCACTTTTAGTTTCAGGCGGTCTTCATGTAGAATCCGAAAATATTAGGTCAGGTAGTTCGCAGAGCTGGGCTCGGGCTCACTTTCTCTCCGTGAACCTGCCCAGAAACATCAAGGGCAGATGAAGAAGGCCTTTCGACCCATTCTATCTCGTCCTTCTATAACAATCATCCTCTCACCACAGCAGCATCCAACTGCTTTTTAAACGAATCCCAGTGTCCTGGCCTCAACTACCTTTCCAGGTAACCCTGTTCAAATCATCGATTACCCTCTGGGTAAAGGAACACTTCCTGGGATTTGTCCTGAAATTGCCCCCTTTACTCCTCTAAACAAACCTGTGACCTCTTGCTCTACTCTCCTGATGCTTTCTAAAGTTTAAAATTGGGTTCAGTTTTCAATCCCATTTATCTGGGATTGAAAGGTTCCCCTTGGGAGTCATCTTCAGCTTCTCTGCCCCCAGCTTTGGAACTCCAGCCCACGTTCCCTTTGCCTCCTTTGCCTCCTTCAAGACACTCCTCTTCGACTGCACCTTCAGTCACCCTCCTACCCTCCTACCCTCCACCCCTCCTGCTCCGGACCCCCCCAGCTCAGGTCCAAATCCCTGACTGTCCAGCGCCTTGGGATGTCCTCCCGACATGGCGCTGTGTAACCATAATTAGTTGTTGGGGTCCAAGATGGGGCTGTGGGTACATGTGTACGATGCATGCGTATGTGTATCTACCAATACCATCGATGATCCTCTAAACCTTCCCAGTGTCCTGGCCAACAATCATCCAGATGAATTGCTCAATCACCTCATGGACTTTGAAGTGACAAACTCTCCATCTTATTTGCCTACGGTCACTACCCATCCATCCAGGTCTATATTTACTCAGTATTTCTTTCTCCCAGTGTCCTGGCCAACAATCCCCCAAATAAAATTGGTCATTCACTCCACGACTGTTTGTGGGACGCTGCTGTGCACAAATTGGCTGCCGCATTTCGCCTACAAAATATGCAGTCAAAACACTTTACAGTGTATCTTGTGAAGCGCTTTGAGACGTCTCAATGACATGATAAGGAGCTATATCAAATGCAAGGATTATTATTATTATTATCTTTTATTGTGATGTCCCAAATTGAGATTATTGTACTTGTCAAAAGGGAGAGGTGGTAGGTGTGGAGGTGCTCGAGCCACAGATGGTGGTGAATCATGAGGCCGGAATTCTGCCATTTATGCTCGAGGGTTGGGGTTTGAAGTGAGTGGCGATGGCTGTTGTAATGATGAACGCTTATTATCATTGCAGTGAAGCACCTTGTGATATTCCAACAGTACCGTCGTTACAAAAATGCAAAGTCTTCTTCAGACAGAACACCACCCACATTGCTGAGGAGTGAGCTAAGGCCTCCTCTCAACCCATCACCATTGTGTTGTTGTGTTGCAAAAACAATCATAAATAAGCATTCAGTATATTTACAGTTAAGTGGCAAAGTGGAGCATCTGTGTACAAATTGGATAAATAAAAAGTACATTGATTTCCTATGATTGACAGTGATTATATGACAATAATGAACATGGAAAAGTACTAACTCACACCATAACAAACACACAGAAACAACAGAGAGAAGAGAAGAAACCTGGTTGGAATTTTGCACCATTACGGCCCATTACTACTTTGGTCCAAGGAAGTTCTGTGCTGATAGTCTATAAAAAGTCCTATTGCCTTAAAATGCCACCTTATTGTAATGGGGTATCTCTTCCTCTCACCACGAACCATTCATTCTGTGCACAGTTGCCTTTTAGCAACACACATAAGAACCTGCCTCAGGGTCAAAAACTGAAACTTCCTTCTCTCTTAAATAATACTTGCATATATAATAATAGTATAAGCCTTGCATTTGATACTGAGTTTTACCACACCTTCGAGATGTCTCAAATCGCAGAACAGAATATACTGTAAAGTGAATTGACTGTACATTTTGTGGGCGAAACGCGGCAGCCAATTACACACAGCAGCGTCTCACGAACAGTCATGAATTGAGTGACCAGATTATTACTATTTTTTTCTTGTAACATGCATTGACCAGGAGAAACTCCCTTCTCTTTTCGGGATTTTGCCACGGGATCTTTACATATCCCTAGACAGGCAGACAGGCACCATGGGTTAAACATTTCATCTGAATGTCGGCATCTCCGACAATGTTAGCCTCCAGACCACAAACTCAAAATCCCATAGAAATCATAGAAACCACAATCCTTCTGGCACAGTGATGAGAGTGCTACCAACTGAGCCAACACTGACACACAGCACTGCCATAGATCACCATCCATTAACATCCCACGTGTCAGCCTGGCTCAGAAATAGCACTCTCTCACCTTTGAGCAAGAACATAAGAACATAATAATTAGGAGCAGGCGTAGGCCATTCAGCCCTTCTAGCCTGCCCGCCATTCAATAAGATCATGGCTGATCTATTTCTAACTCCACCTACCCGCCTTATCCCCATATCCCTTAATCCCAAGAAATCAATCAATCTCAGTCTTGAATATGTTCAAAGACTGAGCAAGAAGGTTGCGGGTTTAGTCCCCACGTTGGGACATGGAAACATAGTCTAAGCTGATGCTCCAATGCAGTGCTGGGGGTGTGTCGCATTGTGGGAGGTGCCATTCTTCAGATGAGACGATAACCAAGGCCCGTCTGCCTGTTCAGGTGGATGTTAAAGATCCCGCGGTGCTGTTCGAAAAGAGAAGGGAGTTTTCTCTCCCAGTGTCCTGACCCAATACCAAATCAAATTGGTCATTTACTCCATGACTGTTTGTGGGACACGAGTATGAGCAAAGTGCCTGCCATGTTTCGCCCACAAATTACACAGTCAAAATATTTTACAGTATATCCTGTGAAGCGCTCTCAATGGCATTATAAGGAGCTATATCAAATGCAAGGATTATTATTAGTATTATTATCTTTTATTGAGGTGTCCTAAATTGAGATTATTGTAATTGTCA